TTTTTTATTATTATTATTATTATTTTTTTTTAAATTGGTTTTCTGTTGGTTTGAAGAGTTTTTGCAGTCTTTAAACTGATTTTCTATTGTGCTACAAACAAATCAAGTCGAGTATGGACCTTAATTGAACATTTTTTTTTTTTTTTTTCACTGCGAACTATGCAAATTAGTGTTTGACTCAAACTCGTGAAGAAAATAAAAATGCTTGAGCTCGATTCGATGTTCGACATGTCTCGAGTTCGGTTCGAAATTTTAACAACTAAATTTTAAATATAAATGTATTATTTTTAATTTAAATATACAATTTTGGTCTTGGCGTTCTAATATTGATAAATTAAACTATATGAGGTATTTAATGTAAATAAAAAGTCGAGCGACTCGTCGAGCTTACTAGCGCCTCTTGAAATGATGTTCGAGACTCGACTCGTTTGCTCGATTGAACTGCTCAAACTCGACTTTGACTGAGCTCGACTCGAGCAAATGAGTCGCTCGACTCATTTGCAACCCTAGCTCCAACACACATCCGTGCACACACACACACACAAAAGAGTAAATAAATAAAGTCAGAGAATATCATTTTTTTTCTATAATAATTTGCATAACTCCCCAAATAGTGTTCCAGCATTAGTTCTTGTTGTATGATCGACTATTTCCCTTAACCATCTTCCCAAGGCCCCTCGCCTAGCATCCTATCCCTAAACGTCTGCGCCGCTTCCCTTTTAAGCTTTGGAGCGAGCCTCCCACCATCTCTCTATTTGATTTCATAGATTGAACCGCCGAATCGGAAAAATTGGGTTGGTGAACTTTTGGACTATACAATAAAAAATGAGATTCGATGTAAATGGTGTTGTTGACCCTTTAGTCCGAAACGTATTGGGCCGTTCTGTTTTAAGGGCTAGTTATATTTTCAAGCCCAGACTCAATTTTCCCGCCATGAGGCCCACGAAATTCAGCACGTGCATCAGTTTCAGTCTTTAGTCTTTACATGTTCTTCACTAAGCTGCGCTGAATCCCGAGAATCCAAGGTAAAAGTCACCAACTTTCCATTTATTTTCTTTCAAATTTTTCCCCAAAATCTGTGTTGTTGTTCTTCAGTTTCATGATCTTGTAAGTGTTTTGTTTTCGAGTATTGAAGGAATTTGGGCTGTTAATTAATTTCCCTGTTCCGAATCCTCCATTTTTATACTTGAAGCTACTTAGGGTTTCGACTTTCTGAAGCGTGTTAAGGAAGCGATTGAGCCCTGCGATCTCAAAGGCGCTGTTTTTTCAGCAGTTTGTTTATGTGAAATTTTCGTTATTTTGCAGCAATTGTGAAGCTCAAAAGCAGCGAGAAAAAAATGGGGGATGAAAAGGATGCTTTTTATGTCGTGCGAAAGGGAGACGTTGTTGGGGTGTATAGAAGCATAAATGATCTTCAATCTGTTCTGCAGTCATCTGTAATTTTCTCTTTTTTTTTTTTTGGCCTTTTGTGACTTGTAATGCAGCATTTGTTCTGTTATTCGGTCATGCGTGTGCGTGTGTGTTCTTTCTTTCTTCCCCTGCATTTGGGAGTCCATATGAACTCCGCGTGTGTGTGTTTGTGTGTGTAGAATATTATTCCAAATTTATATCACTGTTTTTCTCCCCTTTTGAATCCACACGAGCTTCTTGCAAATTTTAGGTTGAAAACCTACCTTTTGATCTGCTTATAGACGATTATTTTTTCGCCATAATTTCCATCTGAGTTGGAGAACTTCATACTTCGAAAACCGTGGTTTTTCAAATTTGACGCGTGGAAGATTAGGTCAATTTGTTTTCTTTGCTCAGATGTGTATACTTTCTCCTCTGCATATATGAAGTGTGAGTTATTTCTGGAATGCTCAAGTGGGTCATGCGGTGGGAAAAGTGTTTAATGGTCCATGGGTATCTCTGATCAATACTCGACTTTTCTATTTTCTATTTGAAAATTTTAAGAATTATTTGTTGACTGATAATGTCACGAATCTTTATGCAAGTATTTTCTCTTGTAGGTAAATGACCATTCTGTAAATGTCTTCAAAGGGTACGGTTTGTCTAAGGAAGCTGAGGACTATCTATCGTCTCATGGACTTAAGAATGCTATTTATTGTGTTGATGCCAGCGATGTGCAAGATGATCTTTTTGGCCAACTTATCACTTGCCCTTATAGGGTTAGATTATGTAAAAAGTTGATGGAACCTAATTTGTCAAATTTATGCATATACGATGAGGTGTTGTGCATAGTGTTCGATCTTTGAGAAAGTTTTTATGTGCAGGAACCAAATTCTTCCAAAGATAAGTCAGCTAGCAAGAATCATTTGGATAAGAAGCCACAGGTTATTTCTCAATATCCTTCGATAGTTAGAACAAATGGCCTTTTCAATATTATGAGACTATGAGTCTCTCCTAAACCTTGAAAATGTCTTGTTTGGTTTAACGACCTGACTTCTTTTTTGGTATGAGTTCAAATAAAATGTTATGTGTGATCAACTGAAAATTTATGTCTTTTCTCATCAGGAAGTTGTTGGGTCAGCTTCATTTCCACCAAATTCTCCTCCGATACCACCGCCTGGCAAATTAGATAATTTCCTCCAAGTTCCTCCTATTTCTTCTTATTGCGTAAGTTTCTATCACATATTATTTTTTAGTATTGGTACCATTTCTAACTTACATTTTTCTTTCGATATTAATGTAATATTAACAAAATTTTCTGTGCTGATCAAATATATGCTTCCAGCCCTCAGTTTCGTAGCCCCTTGGCCAACGGTTTCATTTTGTGGTTTTACTTTCTATATGGGTTTGGAGAGTTCGTAGTTCTTCTACCTTTATCCTAGTTATAGAGATACATTATTGTTATATGCTTATTTGTATTTAATTTTCCCTCATGTTCAGTTTTCGTGTATTATCGAGTTTGATGGAGCCTCAAAAGGTAACCCTGGTCTAGCTGGTGCAGGGGCCGTGGTCCGTGTGTCAGATGGAAGGGTATTTTTCCTCTTGCCTACTGTATTTCTTCTATTTATATGCATGCCAACTAATGTAAACATCGTTCCCCTTTTTTCCTTTATTATTATTATTCTCATTCATGCTCAAAATAAATACTACAATTAATTACATTTTGTTATGATTTTCTCGTTCTTTTTTCTTTTTTCTTTTTTATTTTTCTGTTAGGTGTATCGATTGCGTGAAAGTGTGGGTATTGCGACTAATAATGTTGCTGAATATCGTGGTGCCATTTTGGGGTTAAAATTTGCACTTTCGAAAGGGTTTAAACATGTACGGGTGCAAGGAGACTCTAAACTTGTCTGCATGCAGGTGCGTAGCGTATTTACGCTCCGATTTACTTCTGTTGCTAATTTTACACAAAAGAGCACGTGAGCTCTTTTTTTTTTTACTATTTATGGTTGTACCTCATTAACAGGTTCAGGGTCTATGGAGAACCAAAACTCAGAATATGACTGAGTTATGTAAGGTGGCCAAAGAGCTCAAGGATCAGTTTTTGTCTTTCGATATACGCCATGTTGAGAGAGTAAGGCTATATTTGGTAAACCTGGCTGATAAGCTAGTTTATAGCTTTTAAGTGAATTTCGAGATGCTGGTAGCTTATGATTTATGGTTGATAAGCTAGCTGAAATAAAAAGTTCAATGAGCTTATTTAAAAAGTTACCCAAAGAAGCTTATGAGATAAGCTCTAGTTTTTTAAAAAGCTCGTCATACCAAACCAAGTTTATTTAAATATAGGAAGCTTATATGCTTAGCAAACACAGCCTAAGTAGAATCAACTCCAATCAACACAACAATTTGTTTTTTTCTGGTAAAATGTTCCTAGGATTTTGACGCAAATTAGATGCCAAAAATTTGTATACGTATACTTTTGGATTTCACGTATCGAATCATACGCATTGTCTTGTTTGTTTCATAAACTCGACAGGACTATAATACCGAAGCTGATGCGCAAGCAAACTTAGGAGTACATCTGAAGGGTAATAAATATTTGTTGCAAATATTTTCCACTAGCACATTCTCTTTAGCTATCGAGAATATCACATGATACTGATGGTTCTGATTGTGCAGCCGGCGAAGTTCAAGTAGACCTCGATGAGAAATAACGAACCGAAAGGGCCGAGTAGTGAACCTCTGTATGATGCAAACTTGGGAAAAAATTCTGAAGTGTAGATGACTATGAGTCGTATATTTTGTAGCAAAGCTTTTGTTGTAAATTGGATTTTAAGTTAAAAAAAAAAAAATGGATTTTAAGTCATTGTTGTACTGAATCTAGTGAAGAATCTAGTTGCATAATCCCCTGTATGTGTATGGTTTGAAGAAAAATCTCTCCCTCTCTCTCCCTCTCTATGTGTGTGTGCGTGGACAAATATATTCAATTGGCAAAGCACTGTGGGAAAAAAGCGAGTGCCTCATTTGTAGTTATACTAAAAAAAATGACCAATATAACTTATGGAACTGCTACGGTCTCCAGTCTCGTTACGGTACTATTCTGTCGGGTGTTTTAACTATTGAATTCCTGTATAGTTAGATAAGATAGGTGATTCAACGGTTAAAACACCCACTGGATGGTGTCGTAGCATTTTCCTATAACTTACTCCAGAGATGCATTTATAAGTTAAATACATTACAAGCACAAGTAGCATTTTTTTTTTTTTCCCTAAAAGTATATGTAAAAAAATACTAAATTGCTATTTTTTAAAAAGAATCGGTAAAATTAAATATAAAAGATTTATTGGCATCTTCGTTTTTCCTTTGTGGATAGAATAAACGATATATTAACATAGCCAAGAAAAATCTTTGGCCACTACAGCCATGGCTACTGTCCCTGCATTCTCTCTTTCCAGCTTCAATTCTCCTCGTCCTCCCTCTACTCACGCGCCGCCGGCTTTCAACCCACCTCAATTCCGGTTCCAAGGCATAAAATTCCGAAGCCAATTCCAAAACAATCCCTCCTTTTCACGTTTTTCATTGGCTTCTAAGCTAAATAATCATGGCATATTGAGGCCCATGACTGTAAGGGCCGCGGCGGATGAAGCAGGAATCGCCACCTCCGAAGAAGAAGCGTCGCCGGCGGCGGCGGCCGCGGCTGCCGTCTCCGATCAGACAGTATCCGTCGCGGTCTCCCCCTCCGACGGGCTGACAATGTATTTTCAGGTCGTGTTATCTTTTTTTTTTTCCCTCTTTTGCTTTTTACCTTTTGTTGTGGCGTTTTTCGGTACAAATTGTCCGGCAACTGTTTGATAAATTGTGTGAGAGAGTGTTGCTTCTGAAATTGCGCAGGCAGAAGGAACAATGCCCGACTCTGCTATTCCTGCGGTTACCAGGGCTTTGGAGGTAATTTGTTATCTTAATTGTTAACTTGTTTTGATCCAGTGATTGAGCAAGAATGCTGTTAGGTTTCAAATGAGAAATTCGTAATGCAAAGTAGATTTATCGTTTATTGAGATTTTATGTAATTTTAGAAGGAAAGCTCAGCTTGAAGTTGCTAATAGTATTACAACGTTTTTCTTTCCACGAAGATTGTTGTATTTCTATGAGATATCTGAAAGTGTGGATATGAGAACTTGTTCTGAGCTCTAAACTAATACATGATTATTCGATCCCGGATTCTTGTTCAAATTACATATGATTTTGTCCCTTGAGGAATGATGTTACGTATCGCTTTGAAACTAAATTTGTTTTAGTTTTTCCAAGACAAACCATTTCGACATTTTGATTCTTGTTAATAGGGAATGGAAGGCATTTCGGATCTCAAGGTTCAAGTAGACGAGGGAATTGCAAGTGTGCAGGTAATTTTTTTTTTCAATAAATTATTGCTTTAACTCGTATTGCTCATAAATTTACTTCAAGAAGCAAATGATACATGGAAATGAAGTGGAATTTTGCTCTGTTCTTTTTACGTGGATACTAATTTGATATTGGTGGTCAGTACAGGTTTTAAAGTATTGGTTTTAAAAGCACGTGTATAAATCACCACACGTTGTAGTTGACAGAATTCCTCATACACATTAGAAATAGGCTAAAATTCACAATCCGAATTCGTAGCTTTAGGCTTTTTTTGGTAACCAAATAAACTAGCTTATAACTTATTTAGTTAGCTTATAAACTTCCTGTATTTGAATAAGCTTCGTTTGGTATGACGATTTTTTAAAAAAGCTCGAGCTTATCTCATAAGCTTTCTTTAGGTAGTTTTTCAAATAATTTCGTTGAAATTTTTATTTCAGCTAGCTTATGAGAACTACTTTTACGGGACACTATTAGAAGATAACTAGACGTTGTGCATTATGTACTAATCATCCCATATTCGAATCAATGGCTTGTTTGAAATGTATTGTGAGTCGGCATCATTCTTGTTCTTGCAGTTAACAAAGCAAACAACTGTACAAGCTACGGGGGTGGCTTCAAACTTGGTCGAGACAATACAAGGTTCTGGCTTCAAGTTGCATACGTTGAATTTGAGCTTCCAAGATGAAGAAGATTTCCCCTAAGTTTGTATTTTCCTTTACAGATTGTGATGAACTAGTCAATTAATTGTTCTCGCCTGAATTTTGAGAATATATTATAGGCCCGATGTATCTCCACCCATTGCTTGTAGTTCACATGCAATCACTTTTCGATTTGTGTAAAATTGTTTATTACAATTTCAAAATATTTTTTATGAATACTTTAACAACAGGCCCCAAAGTGTCAGTTGATAATTGAAATGTAACCGTGATCATTGCTTGTGGTAAGCTGTTTTCTCAGTCACCCAAATTCGAGCTTCAACTCCTAAGAAAAATTTGTTGATTCTCAACAACTCACTTCGGCAACTGCTTGGTATGTTCTCTTGTAGAAATTTTCACAGCTTGCACGCAACTTGTTCGATGAATTGACTCAAATGAGTATGTGATTTTTTTCTTCATTGCAGCTGCTGGTTTAGCACATAAAAGTCTTATTCACATGAATATGAAGATTTTGCAACAGGTTAGTCTACTTTAATTACTTCCTCTTTGTTCGATCTTTTTATGTGCTCATTTCCGTGATGGTTTTGCTAGATCTACGATGTCTTGCATATTGTTCGTTTTTGGACGAGTGATTGTTCCATCAATTCTAGAACCTTCTGAACAGATCCCATGACAATGCAAAACCAGAAAACATCTACTTCAACAGGATAACCTCGTCATCAAGGTTGTTTGTTTGATCATATTTGCTGAAAGGGTTCTATAATCTTATGCAAGATTAGTTCAAGGACAACTTTTGCCTATTTTTTCAATCATATTTATTCTTCTGAAAGAAAAATATTCATATATTTGTGGTGAGACAATCTTGCTGATATCTCTTAGTTTCTTGATTAGGAAGCTATGGAGAATTGCATTTGGGTATTGATTGGTTTTTGAATACGGATACTCCTTCCCATCTCCGAAAAATCGTAATACGTGGTAAGTTCGATACTACCCAGGTTTTTATCCAATAGATCACACACTCATGCACACACATAAAGGTGTAAATTTTACCGATGCTCGGTTTGTTGATGAAAAAGGTTTTTTTTTTTTTTTTTTCTAATTTTAATTTGTCATGGGCTCATTAAACCAAACTTTGAAATTGTTATATTTGAACTAAACACTTTTAAGGCAAGTGAAGCTTCATTTCATTGTAGAACGACCTGACATTGTTCATTTCATTGACTCTAAACACAGATGTTTTGTTGTTGAAGTCAAGATTTTGACTTTTAACGAAAACATTATCCTCTCTCATCTTCAAATTTAGATCAAACGAAATCGCCTAATTTTATGTTGTGCTGCAAAAATTTGATATAGGAGTTGACTGTTAATAGTTGAAAAGACTTTAACACATAAATTTACATAATTATTAGAACCAAGGGAAGAGGGTGCGGTCCCACAAGGTGAAGCGCACCATAGGGTGTGCCTAGATGCACCTTTGCGAGGTTCTATTCCAAAACAAATTGGTGATGGGAGGAATAGCCCACTAGGCTCATTTTTCCTATAGAATTAATGTGGGACAACTCACAAGTGATATTCCAACACGCCCACTCACTTGTGAGTCATTCGTAAGCCAACCCCACAGAGTAGGCTGGGTAAAGAGATAAGCCCAAACTCAGAGCAGGCCGGGTAAAGAGATAAGCCCAAACTCAGAGCAGGCCGGGTAGAGAGAGTCATTCGATGTCGCAGGACAGGCCCGCTCTTATACCATTTTAAAACCTGGGGAAGAGGATGCGGTCCCACCAAGTGAAGCGCACCATAAGAGGGTGAACCTAGATGCATTTTAGTGAAGTTTCATCTCAAAACCAATTGGTGATGGAGGAGTAGCCGTGATGGAGGAGTAGTCCACTAGGCTTATATACTAGGCTCATTTTTCCATATAAAATCAATGTGGGACAATTCATAAGTGATATTCCGACAATAATTTCATAATAAATTGCAATAGTTTAGAATACCACATAAACAAAACATATGTTTCTTCATTGTATAAGTAAATAATTTTTTTTTTCTTAATTAAGATATAGCTTTCTAAAGGTTAGGCAGCATGATGGACTTTCGAATACTGATGGCATTTGAATAGAAATGTACAGTTAAAGTCTATGCTTGTGAATAATATTAATTAAACTGAATAGATATATACATCTAATTTCATACATATATGTGCAGAATAAGAACTAAGAACATTGCACATGGCAAAAACCACAGTTTCTAACTATCATTATTCAATCTCGGTGTATCAGAATGTGAAGAAGATAAAATAATGGATTTTCATAAAAAGAGATGAAAAAAAAAATCAATAATCTTGTAACGTTATTATTATATTGTGGCAAGAATTATATATATAGATAAGTGTGGGGAATTATAATATAGGGAGATTCCACGGTTCCGTCATGGAAACATTACGTTGGGGTTTGTAACCGTTAGATCAACTATCTTTGGCGGTTACATGATGATCAAACGGTTACAAATCCCGACGAAATGATTCTGTAACGGGAACGTAACATTTTCTTGTAAGTTGTACATGATACTTATACAAACCATGTGATGTGAACAGAGAATACGCATGGGGACAAGGTTAATTATATAATATCCAATTAATATCCCCCATTTTTAGCACTAATCTTAATTTCTGATTAAGACCTTTGTCTCATTTTCTCAATTCCAGTTCATAAATTCTGGTAGCCTAATCATTAAGTTGACACAATTATAAATTCTTGTATGAACCGACCTAATCATATTTTATGTTATAAAAATGCGTACTTAATTATGTCATGAAATACTTATAATATTTTTTATTTACATTGTTTTTTAATTTAGAGTGATATTTTAATTTGAAACATACAACAGTTATCTCTCTTCTATTTCTCTCTCTTCACTCTTTCTCACCTTTCACATCGAGAAATCATCTACAAAATTCATACAAAAGTCGAAAATGCCATACAACATGATAAAAAGTATGAAATCTAAACGCAACATGATGAAACTTATTCGACTATTTTTGGTAAGCATATAAGTCAACTTATAGTTTATTTGATTAACTTACGAGTTCTTTGTATTCAAATAAATTTAGTTTAATAGAACAATTTTTTTTAAAAAAAAAAATAAAATTGAACTTGTCTAATTTACTGTTAGTATAGGAAATATCTTATATTTATATTTATTTTATTTAAGTAGGATATCTTGTTGTCCAAGTTAACTAGCCCTAGACTTTGTATATTTATATCCTCTGTACATCAAAACAAATCAAGATATACAAAATATTTTGTCCTTCTATTTGTTCTGTCATGGTATCAGAGCGAAATTTCTTCTTTCTCGATCGTAATTCAATTTTCTAGTCTGTCCATCATATTTTTTCTTTCTCTTCTGTGAATTATTCCACAGC